CTTTTTTTTTACTTCAACAATGGGGACATCGAATGAGACCGTTCACGTCGCATTTCGCGCATTTCAAGGCGACGAATTCCGCGGTGAAGTCGTTGCGGTGAACGGATCTCTTGCTTCCGTTGCAAACAGGACACAGCTGCCACTGGTAACCTCCGCAGAACAGGCAGACTGTGCAGGCGTCCTCGCTCTGGAATAAAGATCAATGATGCGGGGATGAGCGATTTTAAATTTTGCGGATAATTTGTCAGAGAGAAATGTCAGGATTTGGAATCGAGGATTTTCGTTTTCCACGATATTTTGTGTCTTTGGAATTGAATTTTTAATAGAATTTTTTTTTCTTTTTATGATGAATGAGATGATTGGTTTAGATCGACGCGCAATTTTTGCATCCTACTTTATTTCGAGTTTTCAACATAGTTTGAAGTTACATTTTTTTATTAATAAAATTCCATCTAATTTCCATATTCTTGCAATGCTTACGTATTCGTGTGTAACAATCTAGACATTCGACACGATTGTAAAGAAGTCAATGACAGTATTGAGAAACTATAATCGAGTACTATGAATACTTCCGGTGGTAAAACAATAGTGGGCTAACAATAGGTGTATAATTATGGAAGGAGAGTATTTCGAACATATTACGATAGTTGAAAATTATCTTTCATAAACAGATCACACCAGATCACACCTCGCGAGAAGATTGCCTCAAGTTTGAGTCGAAGCATGCATCCATTTTCTGAATGGATTCCAAATATGTGCATACACTGTACGTGAGATAAGTTCAAGAATCCATTCAAAGCGACTTTTAATTAACCTTGAAAAAATACACGACGACGGAAATTGGAAATTGAACAACAGGTTCAAATTGAAAAATCATTTAATTCTAACTTCGTATCGATGTGATCGCAATTGGTGAGAAAATGACGATAAAGTGTAATCAGAAGCTCGATGAGCTGATATCCAGAAATATCATTCGTGATTCCCAGTCCCACGATTATTCGAACCAATTCCATTCACATAATATCTACATCTCATCTACTTAATGCCCGCGACTTAATGGACGAATGATTGCCGGACTCAATCGTTTAACGATTATAAAATAAGCGTGACGATCCTTATTCCTGCATTAGTTTCCAGTACGCGCGGTGTTGCTCAACAACGCTTTCACTTTTACTTATTTTCGATTGCATTCTTCTAGCAAAAAAAAAAAAAAAGGAAAAAGAAGAGGAGTAATATAGGAAACGAAATCATTTGTTCGACTTCCTTAAATTGAAACGCAATTTCGAAATATTTCGCGACTTCTATCTTTTTTGTTGTAATTCTTTTTTTTTTCCTCTTACGTGCTTGCTTAATCAAATGATCAATCGAAACGAGACTTTTTCTGCGAGGAAAATCTAACATCTTAATAAATTACACTGTCGCACAATATTATTCAATCAAACGATTATTACTTGTCTGAGATTAAGAATTTCGAATGATTAATCATAAATATCTTCTTCGAATACGAACTCAGAACAGTGTAGTTCAAGATTTTCTTCAAAGAATCAAGAAAGAGATTTTAAAAGGGAATGAAACCGATATCCATTGCTGGTCGCATCCACACTTTTCGAACCCAAACGAAAACGAAAATAGGTTGAAAATCTAGGTGGAATATCGATGTAATACGCGTAATTTTATCCATAGTCGATGACAAGATTGGTATTCAATTTGTTAGCGAAATAATAAAATCTTCTTACGTGTGTTAAATCTTTACGCGTTGCATGCATAAAGTGCATGCTTATCGTGTTTAAGAAAGATCAGAATATCGATGATACATTATGCAAGTATTGCGTAAAGAGGCAAGATGAAAAAGGACGGCGTGGGTATGTCGTTTAATTACAAGCCTTTCTGCACGTGAAACAAATCGATAATTAACTTTCGTCCGGCAGAGATAAAATAATTTTACGATTTTTTTCTCTTTGAGAAACTTTTTTCGTTTTTCCGAGAGACAGGATTTGGATAATTTTCTACGCGCCTTCTCTATTGTGTATTTCATTGTGCCGTGACTCTAGTCAAAAATTTAAGATCTTCGAGTTATTAACTCGAGGAGAGAAAATTTTGTGAAAAGGACACCGAGCCCACGCTATGCGTGTTTTGTAATTATCTTGCAATAAGAATGAGGCTGGAGAGATGAGTGTTGTTGCGCAACCGGTTGGAATGGATTGATTAAACTGAAAGAAACGAACGATACGTTTTATGTAATTTTCGTTTATAATCGTGCCTCTTATAGGCTGTGCAATTAATACAAAACAATTGCTTGTAAAGAAATAAAAATTTCAGAGTAATGGTCGAGGATAGTTTCTCTAGTAGTAAATAATTGAAAACCAGAAATTTCGTAAGCGATACATCTACTCGAATCATAAAGTTATAGATTTAACAACACGAAATTGAACAAAACTCATTTTCATCGTGAAATCTCCACAATCTCCTATTACACATCACAATATCTAATCACAAACTCGGATATAACTCGCCATTCGAATTTCAAACAACTTTGAAAACCGAACGATCAAATAATTTCATATACATAAGTTTCTCGAATTTTCTATAATTATTAACATTCGAAGGATTCGAATTTCAGATTCGAGTCGATATTTCGATTTTGAAATGAGCAATCCACCGACATTACATTCCAAAAGAATCATTTTCAAAGAAAGGAATATATTTTGTATAATACCATCCACTCTTAATAAAATTCACCTCCGTTTCAAGACACCTTCAAAATTATCGAATCCAACAACGGATCAAGCGCACAAACTTTCCCGAATTTGATCATTTAATCGACAAAAGGGATGAATGTCCTTGCGCGTGAGGATCGACGCAAACGGGACACGAGAAAGGAGACACGGAGAATAATAGTCTAAGGGGAGAGGGATAGGGATAGAAATAATATGAGGAGAGTGACAGTGGTCGTGGAAACGAGGTGTAAACGACCTTTCCTCGCTGCAAGGTAAACCTCAATCGTACGACATCGAAATTTATGAACGTGATGGAAAAGGAAGGTGGAAGGCAGATATCGGCGGATAAAAGTGAAAGGATCGTTACAACCTTGTGCCCGCGACGGATTACGCGTCCGCCGCCAACACGATCCCCACGAGTTCCTTTCTGGCTGCTCGTTGTGTGTATAAGCACACAACCGTCCCATTCTTCTAAGCGGCATAAATATCCCAAAGACACGGGGAGTTACGTGGCGAATTCTTGGAACCGGGATTCCTGAAGGGTCGAGTAAATTCTTCGGGGGAATATTGACAGGATCCTCCGTAATTCTTGCGAGGATTACACGTTCAGATTGCGGTAAATCCTTGGTGTCCGGTGGTGAATGTACGAGGAGGAAAGTGGAGAATTCTTTTGAGTTAGGAACGTTCGCGAGGAAATATTTGTTACGAGGGTTTGTTTTTTAGGGAAATTTTGGAAACTTGGATCTTGGAATAGAATAGGGATTTCATTTAATTATGTTTGATTATGTTTCGATGTTTCTATCTATGTTGTTTATAAATATTTTTGCGGATACGGAAAGTGAGTCTTATTTTCATTCAATTAATACGAATTTTAAGTTTCGTTTAGAGAAACTGGAGGATTTTGGATAGGATTGATCCGTTGATTTTGAATTAATCTGATTAATCGTGAAATAGAGGAGAACTGATGATTTTGAGTCAGTTTCGTCACAGGTGTCGAATGGAGGAATGGATTCTCGTCCTAATCTCTAATTACCTGGTACGGCTTGAGCATCTCTCTCAGCTCTCCAGATTCGTTGAGTCGTTCCACGGTGTCGAATCCCTGTAAAGAGAAAAGAGTTATTTTAACGAATATCAAAAGAGATATCATTCGCGATGTAGATTAAAATTTCCATACTGTTTTTTTTTTTTCAATTAATCCCGAAAAATGCAGTCCAACGAGTTGATCATGATTTCAAATACGCGATAATCGATTACTATGCATACTATACTAACCGACGAGAGCTCGTATTAGCATGTATAAACAAACAGGATCTATCAAAATATTTATGACACGGCTAACAGATGCGTTATAATCACTTTCGTTTTGCTATGAATTTCCTTATTTTATGGTATTTTTATCGTTGACCATTTACCAGTATCACGTTATCATGTACAGTATATACTGACGACAGCTACTAGTAATGAACATTTTATGAAGATTTATTGTTTAAACACATTTGAGTGATTTTTAATGATGTTTCTTCAATTAATTTTTAAAATAAATGTGCTCGTTTCTTTCATTTTTGGATTTTTTTTATTTCTTTTCTTTTTTTTTTTTTATGAAAAGTGTAAATAATTTGGTTTCTAGTAGGAAGGAACTTGCAAGTGAAGCAAAAGTGATCTGTAAAAACGCGTCTCAATTTTTAATTCGACTCGTGGAAATGTTTCGACATTAAACGGTGAGACGAGAACCAGTATAAAATAGAACCAACTCTTAAAAGTTTCTGACACGATTACGTCGATGATATTTTCTAAATTTCGAGCTGCTCGAGCACTTTTACTTTTTAATTTTCAATTGAATTAGATATCAAAAAAAGATATTCATAATTTTTAATATAAAAAAAAGAATCTAAAGTTAGCGAATCAAAAGTTTACTATGTAAAAAAGATTTAATAATTAAAATTTTTATATACAGATATCGTTGAATTGTTAACATTCTTCAAGAAAAATCCAGCAATTTTCAATTAATCATTTCCATTGCTAATCAAAGATCTCTCTTCAATCGAAGAGAATGCCATTTTTATCTACGGATCAATTAACGATATAATCAACAATTCATCACTATATTACATTACGTATACTTCATCAAACTTCTCGATCGCTATTCATTCCTAACCTAAACCCGATCCATTCCCCTTTCAAAAGTCTAAACACAGAGAATCAAATCATTTGAAGAAAGCCTATTTTTTTCTTTTTTCTTCACTCACACTTGTCACTGATCCATTACGAAAAAAAATCGAACGATTGATACCTTTCATCGACGTTGATCCTAAAATGAAATCATAAAAAAAAAAAAAATAATTCTAAAGAAATCAAACTGCAAACGATACAAATTACACGTCGAGCATCGATTTAGCATGATTTTCGAGACTAGTCCACGATCGAGCACGGGTATCACGTGGCGTGGTCGATCAGGAATGCGGTTGGAGCGCGGTTGTGTTTCGTTTATACACGTTCGCCCGAGAGGACCGTGCGGTGCCTTATAACGCAAGCCACTTCACCTTTCGTTCTCTCTTTCGCGCCTTCCCCCTTCTCTTTCTTTCGCCAGGCCTTGGATCGAGCGGTTTGACATTTCGCCGCCGCGTTTATTCGCTCGGCCATCGACTGTGGCCCCTCTGTCCATGAAGTGTCGCGCAAACGAGGAGACACGTGAACGTGGCTACGCACACTTGTCGCACAGCCCTCGAATCTTATCGATCGTTCGTTGATCTTGCACTCGTGTCAATATTTATTTCATTTTATATCGTCATCATACGGTGGAAAGAAGAATAGGATTTATTAATAACACGAGAAAGATATTTCTTCGATTCATATCAGCATCCAGTATCTTGCAGATTGATTTTATTCTATTTTGTATCTTTATAACAGATTCTGAAAACAGGATCTGACGAAATATAAAGAAATATTTATAAATTTATTTCATATTATTGTCATATCCATCTGGATATCTTTTAATAAAGAGCAGGATATCCTGATGATGTAATATAGAAAAATATTTTATTTATATAGATAGAGATAGTAAACGAGCAGTGAGTCAATGCAACAGTTCGAACTATGTTTAAACTAGTTGAATGTCATGACGATGAAAAGCCGGCTGAATGATGGATCGATTCCAATATTTTGACGTATTTATTTTTATTAGATGTATCGTGACACGTAAAATACGTAACAAGTATAGACCAACCTTTAGAATTTGTTCATTCAACAACGTATAATTGAATGCATATCGAATGATCGATCGTATCATGAATATCGATCGTACATTTCAGACCAGATTTCAAGTGATATACTTGATACATCGAAGGAAAATGGAAACTGGTGCACGGAGCCAATGTCGCACGATCTGGATTCAAGCCAAAATTCGTTTGGCGTATAAAGTAAATAAAATTTAACCATAGAATTGAGAGAATATAATTAAAGGATGTATTGTTATTAACAAAAGTAACTACGTGATGCATTCGGCCACGTGCACAACAACACGCTTGGAATTGATAATGTTGATTCAGCAGATTCTAATGCACACGATGATATGATCGTGTTATTGAAAATACAAATGTGCAGAATTGCAACTTGCGTTTCTTCTCAAGTTTTCTTGTATGGCGCCTTGAGAAATTGGGCAATTGATCTGATCGACGTCAATGTTTTCACATCTTTGGATTTTGTCATAGTGATTTTTTTATTTCGCTAAAAGTCAATTTTTCCAAAAGTAATCGAAATATTTTTACGAGATTTTCAATTTTAATGTTGTATACTTTTCATTTTCTAATTTTTATTTTTAATTTAGTTATTCGTTTATTTGTTGTTTGACGTGAAATAATAATATTTTTAACATTCTCTTGAGTTTTAAAACATTGACCATAAAATCAGAGACGTGTCATTGGTTATTTTTATAAAATCTTTATGGATTTATCCTTTGATCAATTTCCTTTGATACCTTCTTTATCGCGTGAAAGAAGAATAATTTAATTTTAAGACCGTAAGAATAGAAAATTGTCGTCGAAATATTAAATTTGATAGTTCATAGAAATAATAAGGAAAGGAAAGCGTAGAAAGGTGTAACAATTTTTGTCGTATTATTTTAAGAATTGTTTCGAGCGAAAGCTGTTCGCATTAGAGGAGGCATTAAACCGCAGTTACGTTTAATAACTTCTTTCCATTTCTAACTACGCCACGGTGAAATGATACAAAATGTGAAATGAACAGCAAAATGTCATAATGCTGGAAAAGGTGAGGGTCAACTTAGTTGTTATTAAGCGCGAGGTAATTCCATTTTATGATTCTTAAGTTGCATTCCATTTGCACTTTCACTTTCTTCGCTTTCTTTCTCCGCTTTGCAAAATTATTATTAATGTTGACATTGTAAATAAATAGAAAGCATTCGTTACACAAATATTATTAATATTATTATGAATCATTTTGAAATGATTATATATACATGATAATGTACATGATATACGCATAAATCTTATATACACGTAAATAATATTACAAAATAGAGATATAAAACACTTAATGTTTAAATAAATTTGTTTAAGAGATATTTGAGAGATCAAATATTTGTTAAGAGATTTTTCTTTTATAAGTTTAATGTTAAGCATAAATTGCACATTTATGTTTATATAAGTGTTCGTTAACGATTAAGTTATAATATGGGAAAAGCTATATAATTCTTAATAATAATGCAAAATAATAATGAGAAAAAAAATCGTGAGAAGATACCCTTAAGTAAACGAACAATTTCACAAATAAGAAAAAATAATTTTAATAATTTATTAATATATTAATATCTCCTTATATCTTTCTAAATCATTTTCATATTTAATTTATGAAACCGTTAACTTTCAGATGCACTTAATATCTTTCTTTTCTTTCCCCTATGAATCATTCAACTTATACAATTTCAAGTCACTTTATCCAAGAATCTTCGTTCAATTTCATCTTTAGAAATTTCATCGTTGAAAGGTTCAAAAAATATGTCGTACAAAAGAAAAGATGTACAAAGTAATTTAACTTTTCCTCATCTGATGAAAAATCTCTATTCGACCAATACTCTGCAATTCGTGTAATTGTGTCGTATTTCTATTATAATGTTTCTCGCGAAAATCCTTTTTTTTTTCGAATTATTCCTAAAATTATTCGTACAAATATTCTTTGACATTGTAATGAACATAATATGTTTCCATTAATGTTATTTGTTTCCATTAATATATACATGACATAGAATGTGTCCTCATTTACTCTGTAATATTTCATTCGTCACGTACTTAAAATTCCAATTGGTAACACTTCATGCCCAATTAAAATTCCGTAATTTTATGTTCATAACAACATAAATAGAATAAACAACAAAAATAGATCTTATTTTATATTTATTGCATGTGTAATTGTCAATAACAAATAAAAGTTTAAGAACAAATAGCTTTTTGCATTAAAAGATTTTTGCATTGTATTATAAATATTCAAGAATGCGAGGAAAAAAGAGATTCCTCGCGAGATTCGAATCCGTGGATGGCGACCCCTGACGGGGTTTACACATCTTTCGTCAAGGCGCTTTCTTCAATTCTCGACATTTTTACTTTTGTCCGATGTGATTTCAATCCCGTATTGAACAGCAAAAAATTCTTAATATAAATAGCAGTATATAGATGGAGTTCAAATATACGTATAATTGTAAGACTAATTATTTATTGGCTGACTATTTAATATCTATTTATAATAAATGAATATAATAAGAAATGTTAATAATAAATGCATCGAACCATTGTAGACTTTCCATCATTTGAAAAAATGAATCATGTTTATACATCAATTTTTTTGATTTGATATAATATAATATGGCTACAATTTTGATTCAATATGAAAATTTATTGCATCGTTAAAGAGGTTAATTAAATGCGTTCCATTACGAGATATTAATTGGAGCAAGGTAACGTATAAAATTTCGAATCCGATTACGGTTTTCAATAATGGCCATGATATAACGCATAAGTTTCCTCGAAATTGCATAACTTTTCGGCAAAGATTGATACTCGTCCACGAGCAATCGAGAACGTTCGTAATTTCTTCGAAATTTCTCCAGCCTCCCTATGATGCAATTTATTAGCCGGCGTGTTGCGACGTAATTGCACTCGGCACCGATATCGAATGTGCGTCTAATTGCACGACATATAATTGCGCGTTTGTTTGTTTCGACTGGCATTATACATTTCAAAGGTTTGCATCGCAATATCGATGCCTCAAATATATATATATATATCTTTTAAAGAATTTCAATCAGAAAAGTAAGTTCTTTTTCGAAAAAGGAAATTAAATGAAATTATGAATCGAGATCAACGTTGTCATAATTTCTATTCTTTTATCCCTTAATCTTTGTTACTTGAATGCAAATGACAGTGAACGAATGTGTATATAATTTTTAATATCTATTTGAATGTATTTTTGTAAATTTGCACATTTGAACAGGTGGATGATATTTTGATGTAAAATTTATTACATATGCAATTGTATATAATTAAGCAATTTGATACAAATATTAATTGTCGAGATATATGTGTGATTCAAAAATATACTAAAATTTATACACGATCAGATATAATGATGGTAATAAGATGATTGAAATAGATTAAAAAAAAATTCTTAATAATTCTGGAACAATGTAGTATAGGTTAAGATAATGGCAAGATAATTAATCAGTAATTATATCTGGGCAATGTTATTTTGAGCTGAATTTAAACGCGACTCAATGTATGAATGTAAAAGTTCAATTCCTATATTCTTCCCAACATAATTTATTGTATTCCTGAGAAATATTTCAGATTCTAGTCTTAATTGATTAATTGTAGAGTACAGAAGTTGTAATTACAGAAATATTCAAGAATTCGTTATTACAATAATGTAACACTTTTCAATCTTAATCATCTATATACAAAAATATGTAGCAAGAAAGTAATAAAAATTACGCATAATAATAAATTTGCAATTACAATCATATTTGCACATTTTACCTCATTCTTTCTTTATTTGACACGTTTCTGTCGTAAAAGATCAAAAAATTTAACATTTTCCCATAGCATCCTTTGATTAACTTCTTCTTTTTCAAAAGAATTTGTTTAATATTCTACATTCTAAAAAAATATTAAAAATTATCAAGATTAATATAAATTTTAAATAATAATATTAAATAATGTTAAATATTCAAGTAAATCTTTCAGAAATATTTCAGAGAATTTAAATTTACTTTAAATTGTACCTAAAAATAGCAATTTTTTTCATTGAAAAATCGAGGTGGAAAGTAGTTTAGTGGATGTGAAACTTTCCCCGCGCATTTGACTGGTAAAGCGAGTAAAAGTATCGTCGCAAGCGTAGTAGAAAAGTAGCGTATATTTATAATAACCGGTAGTGGCGAACAAGAGCACTATCACGACAGAAGAAAAATGGCCAACATGCAAAATCATCTGTTCCGCTAGAGGCAACACCGAAATCGAAAACCTATTCTTGTCATATCCACGATATAACGTTATGCAATCTAGGAATTCTATTACAATTTTATTTTTGTCAAAAATCAATATTGAATTGCGTACACTTGTAATTGTACTACGAACATACTGCGTTGGAATTGTAACTTTCTAGAAATATAACTTTTAAATTTTTAAGAATATTTAAAAAATAAATTTTTACTTTTATTTCTACTTTCTATTCTAAAATTTAAAAAAGAAGTCTCGATCGTCATTTTTTCAAGTAAAAATGCACCCTTACATTAAGACATCTTTTTCATTTCCCAATATATTATATTTTTCCCCCACGATCTTCGCATCCTTTAACATTCAGTTCACATTTTCCCCCTATCCCATACGAATTTAATCCAATATTCTTTTCTCTGAAATCCCAAATGATTACCACAGAACCTCTTGATCAATAGCGGAAATCATCAAACAATACATCGAATCACAACTATGGAACAAAATCTAAACAAGAAAAAAATAGCGATTGTGAAATCGTTGTAAATCGATACCACAGTAACAGAGTTGTTCCCGCTACAGCAAAGAACCTCGAAACTTTTTGAAATCTTATGATCGATGAACAACTGATATAAAATCGTGTGCCGCGTGTACAAATGACTTTCTCGTGTTTATATCGGTTACGCAATCGTGTATCGTCCACACAGATTTCCGGTTACAAACCCATTTGAAGTGCGCGAACTAGCGCTCGTCGGTCATCTTTGACATTTCGCGTTGATTTCTCCATAGCGTCTTCGCCGCTTTCACAAACCGTGAAAGAACATACATTCGTTGCATAATGTAACATCGGCCTTGCGAGAAATTCGCATGAGCGCGAACAAAAGTTCGGAAAAAAAAAAAAAAACGATCGTGTGACAGCCATTGTAAATTCTGTAAATGAAGTATCACGAAAGTTTTTTCATTTTCTGATAAAACTCGTCGATCATGTTCCACTTGAAAAATAACTGCGGAATCGAAGAAAAATTAGAACACTTCACGGGATTCCACGAAGTTCGCAATCCGTGGCTGTGAACCCCTCAAATCGGGGTTTCCATACCTTCCGCCACGGAGTTCCTTTCGGTTCCACGATGTTACACCAGATGTCTTCTTCCCTATGAATTCTTCCGTATGAAATTCTGATCGATCAAAGCTCGTTTCTGATAAGTGTCTGCGATTATAGTTATTCGTAGAATGCACGCGTTTATTGCGGAAAGAAACGATTATGGATTCTCATAGGCGAGAAAATCGATAAAGAAGAGGCATGTTTGTCGAGCACAGAAACGATCACTAACAGATGCATACGTTTCATCATTCAATATCGTTCTCGTTGATAACCGTGGAACGTGTATCTTATCGCAAACAGACCGGACACGTGCCGGCAAAAACCGATCTTTCGCGTATACTCAAGTTTTATGCTAATAATTACACGGGTGTATTAGTTGCTCGTCTTAATGAGCAGCCTCGATAAGCATCAATAATTATCCACCACGATATTAACGGGAGTAACGAGCGAGTAGATTTAACCTTGGTAGTCTGCCAAGGTATGTGCATCCGGCTACAAATTATCCGCGTGTAATTTAAGAAAGTTAGATTTAGATGGAAATTTTATGGAGTTTTCGTGATTTCGGCATTCTAGTAGAGATGAACTTTTTTCCTAAGAATTTATCTTTTATCTTTCAATATATAACATTTTGGTAATTTTAGGCGATGGATGTTTATTTTAATATTTGCGTATGACTGATAAGAATGATAATACAGATTATTCTTAGAAGGATTATATTTAACGTTTATATTGATTTCTCTTGAATTATATAATATTATAACCTTGTTTCAAATTTAAATTTATAGAACGTAATTTAGTCTATAATATATCATCATGTTTGTGTAACATCAGAGGAAAGCTATATCCGATACATTTGACCTTATCTGTCACTTACAAGTGCTTTTGCAATACATCGATCATCCATGTTTCTATGAAAGACATTTGTAAAAAATTTATAGAAAATTTTGTAATATTATACTAATCTTTTACTATTTCAATTGAAATATAAGCACAATCTAAATCGTTTAGGTAATATATTTATAGATAATAACATTTATAAGAAGTTATAGAAATTAGATAATAAATTATTACAAATATTTTACAAAATAATTTCCAGCACATTTCTTTTATTAATAAATTTGACTTTCAAGAATTTAACACTTAACACTTTATTACCTACTTCTAATCTTACGCTTCTCTAATTTTTTTTCTTCATATTTCATTCCCTATTTCCCTATAACCTTTATAAATAAAATATTTATAAAAATATATAAATATTTATTTCGGTGCAACCTGCAACAGCTTCATTACGAAAATAATATTCTATTTCCTTTAATGATTCAAGCTAACATCTGCATTTCAAAGTTGCACGAATTTTCCATAACTATTATTACATTATTCAAATAAAAATTTAAATTAAATAACATATCTCTCACGAGTCACGTTATTTTTAAGTCTACGGAAATAAATGGCATGAATAATAAAAAAACCACCATACGATACACGTTAAATAATAACTATAAATACACATTATAAATTTACTTACCCCGATATGTTGGCCATCGATGAAAAGCTGGGGCAACTGTATCACCGTGGAGCCCAAGCGATCTCTCAGCTCTGTTTGCAGCTCAGCGTCCCCAAACAAATCCAACTCGTCGTATTTGACCATGTGCGTCCTCAGGATTTGCTTCACCTTCTTGCAATTGTAAAACGTTTTCCTCACGATACCAGAAGTCGTCGTGTACACTACCACTTTACCCAATTCCTTCTTTATGTACGCCTGCAACCAACCATGTAACGATCCCTATTAAAAATCGTGACAACGTGAAAATTTGCATGGAAGTAAGCATTTCGTGTCGTTCTGTGTACACCCTGTTCTTAGCCGCAACAATTCCGACTTCCGTCCTCGAAATTTTGTACGTGATTATTAAACAAATTTATCTGCGCCGAGGAATGGAAACCTTTTGCGACTGATTTAATATCGAGTTACGCTCAGCCGCGTTCTGCTTCGCAACTTTCGACTGAATCACCTCGTCTCAAGGTATTATTTACGTATATACACAACGAGAAAGTACGGGTTTCGATGGTTTCGTACAAAATGTAGAAAACGAACAGGAAATTAAGGTTGAAAAATGAATGTGAATGTATTGTTGATTTTTTTATGTAAGAAACTGTTATAGAAATTTGAAGGATTGATTGAAACTATGAGATAGAATTTTAATTCCTTATAAATTAATTCTTACGTTTGCCAGAGTTTCTCTTATATATATATATATACTTTAAACGAAAAAGAGAATAACTATTTTTTTAGTTTTTTTAAAATCTTTATTACAAAATTACGAATTCTGAAGATTTCCCTCTCTTTCTTTCTCTCTTACTTTATATCGAATAATATGGTGGATGAAAACATGGAAGCAAGGACGTAAAAGTAATCACGGCAAAGTTTCTTAATGCTTTCTCCCTTGTAATTAGTCTTCGAGGAATAATATTGGCCAAAGAGTATTGTAATCATTTGCCAGAAAATAATATTAAAATGTTACCAACGAGTGAATTTAAAGCGAAGTTACACGCTGTAATTACATTCGTCTTATGTAAAAAGGCTTCACTTCGCTAAAATTAAAAGATCCAAGATTCAAACCTCGCTCCAGCGATCATTTAAGCATAAAGCACGTTAATCCTTGATCAAAGTCTTCTTTGTCATAGTCGTAATTTTCCAATTAAAAAGGGGGAAATACATTAAATCATTTTGATTCATGAATATTATAAAAATAATAAAAATGCGTATTATTTACCGTATAGATTACATCAATACCAGAATATGTTGCAATACGACGATATCCACGCGTGTTTACGTAACGTGGAAGATGCTGTATTTGGCGCGCAATTCAAACTTATAACTGCGTTCGATCCGTCAAGATTACGTAGGCCTGTTCTATCGTACAATTCATCCCATTAACCCCGTAAATGTTAACCATCCGCGCGTTCCATTCCACAACCTTGCCTGGAATCGCGTATATACCTACTTTATTTACATATGCCGCGTTCACAATGCACGAACGTTCGGGTGAAGGTAATGGATTCCACGTAGGCACGAAACGAAGATACGTGGGTGTTACGAGATAATGACACTCGCCTCGATATGTGTGTACAGAAGGAATGATTGGATTTAAATATGTTGAATATATATATATACGCACAAGTGTTACGTAAGTGTGGAATGAAAGACTCGTTCTCTAACGAGCCGACAGGTGGACGATTTATGGGAAATCGTGGAACGATTCTTGTTATATCGCAGATTTTATTATGCATTTCGAATATCGCGCTCCTTTTAATGCTTGTTGTGTCTTTGATGTGAGTGACAAACTTGATCCGTGTCAAGTTTTCTCGATACTTTTACTGAATAAATAGAAAATTGCGGAAGTTTATATATGGAGATACAAAAATTTTTTAAATTTATTGAGGTAAGTGAAAAAGATTACATTTTTTTCTTCAATTTGTTTTTTTTTCCTTCTTCTTCTTCTTCTTTATGGTTGTTGAATTTCTTTTAACGTCGAGGAAACGAGAATTAAATTTTAACGCCGATGAAAGAAAAGAGAAGTAACGGGATAAATCTTTAACCGAAACGAGAACGTGATCGGGATAAGGAAGAACAAGGGTGTAGGAAGATTAATATTCTCTCAGTATATGTAAATATGATTTTCTAACCAGGAATATTAACTTAAAGGTTATCCCCTCGCAAAGTAGGTACATTGACTTTCGTGATAGTGATTTCAAACTTATCCAAAGAAAAAAATATATCTTCTTTCTTATAAAAAAAAAGTTAGATTATATTATCATGGATTATATATTATCATATATTAAAATTGAAATCGAAGTAACAGTAGTTTATAAATTGCAATAAAAATTAAGGACAGCGTAATTCGATAATTCAAAAACATTTCGATGAATGAACAGGATATCTATTTGTCAATGTCCACTTCTTGCAATCATAGGCATAAATTGTAACTGCACTCGCCATTCCATTAATCACGAGTAAAAATTCACATTGACGCGCTTTTATATTTAAAGGATTTATTTTATTTATTTTACGGATTTTGTACTATTAAAGAAATAAAGATTATCGAAATCCTTTTTCTTTTCTTTTCTTTTTTTTTTTTTGGAATATTACTTAACTCTGATTTGTATAAAAAATTAATCAAATTTTTATATCATTTTAATTTGTTGATGGCGATAGAAAGAAAGAAAGAAAGATGTTTCAAGGAACAACACGGAGCTGGTGATATCGTTAAATTAAACCTTTCACTTGGCAAAACAACATATAATAATTCAGCCAAAGTGCAACGTCTGAAACGATTTTCTGCGCTCTTCGATTTTACTTGTAACCCCAACTATAATCACGTTTCTGGTGTGGTGGATGAAACATACATTTATGATTTATATTCACAATAAATATAGCAATTTACTGATTTATATAATAATTGTAGTTTATTAACTGCAATGATGTAAAATGAATTTCAAATATTTTTCAGCATTTGCATTATAAAAATCCTGATTTCTTTCGTTGAAGTGATCAAATAATTCTTTTATTATTATACAGAAAAATGTTAAAATTCATTTATCCAATATTTTTGATATCTTGTAATAACATTTTTTGATTTAAATTTATTAAAATCACAATTTCCTTATCAATGTATTGAGTATTCAATTTATATATTAGAAAAATAAATAATAAGAGTTTACATCATGTTACATATTTCGTCACAAATGAGTATACGATGAAAAGTTTATCAAATTGCCACAAATTACTTTATTACCTATTTCCTGTTCTTTTTTACTTCAATTTTTTCTGAATTATTCGCCAATTGATTCACTTCGCTAACAAGCAATTGCAACATAGTACCGGTTCACTGTGCCATAATTCTTAATAAAGTTACCCTCGTATTCCATTGCAATTTAATTCAATCCAAAAACACGTATATATCGCGATATATGCAGGTATTTCGAATATCGAAAATAGCACGTTTAGCAGAATCGTGTATCATTTGGACTCGCGGGTCAATTTTCGCGAAATATTCGTTGCAAAAGAATGAGCATAAATTGAATTTACCAATTTACCAATTATCCAAAGAATTTTATTTATATGTGGAAAAAAATAATGGTTATTTTAAAAACTGGAAATAAATAAACTCGACGCTAAAGTGATGGTAATAAATTCATGAAATGCAATACACACAATGAAATTGTTGCAACAAAAAGGAAACTTGGAATAAACTAAGCGAATCGGATTATAATGATATGGAATTATTACGACATGATTTATATAGCTTCATAAATTTATATAATAATTGTTTATACAGTTTTATTGCATTTGTATTCTGTTTTATTAATACCAAAGCTATCCTTTCATTTCAAATTTTTTTCATATTATTCGTGAAATAGATAAATTGATATTTTTCTTTTTCAAAGTCTCCTTTTTCAATCTCATTAATATTTAATCAATTGCTTATCATTGAGCTATCAGCTTTCTCGTATCGTTCTTCATCATCGGTTTTCGCTTGATCGAAAACAAATATCATTATCCTTTCTTTTATTAATTATTCTCTATAACTTTCTCTATTTTTTCTTTCATTCATGCCATATATTTTTTCCGCCACTCGATTACACATCATGTTACAATCGTCACCCCGTTGCTCATCCGCACGAACAACATACAAAGATCTTGTTATCGATAAAAATGACAATCGTATAAAAGAAAGATCAAAGATCGATCATATATATATAATGTTATAATAAACTCAAATCGTATAACGTTAAACGTTTAATTCGTTAAATGCTTAAACGAGAACGTGCAAACAAACATAGCTCTCGCAACTTTCCGCCGCTGTTGTTGAGAAATAACTCAAAATAATTCAATCGAAATTCTCTCGATTCACGCCCGTTTGTGTATCGTCATCGATGCCTGTACAGGCAAATCGATCCGTGTGAATATTATGGATCCTCGCGTGGCCACTTTCAACGGGACTGCTAATGAACGCGCATTACGCATTCGTTTCTCGGTGTAAAACCGGATCCCTCGATCCACGTTCTGTACGATCAACGCGATAAAAGGAACTATAATTGCATAGGAATGCTAGGTAGGCAGGATTCTGCCATCGAGTTTTCTCTCTCTCTCTCTCTCTCTCTTTTCTAAGATCTCGTAGCTAGGACGACCACTATTACGCCACGCAAATCGCGCGAGCCTCTCTAATTATATGATTTTAACACCGATGAATCGTTAGAACGTGCTAAGGCAGCAAACAACATTTGTATATATTTCTAAAACTGGCGGTGATCAAGCTTGGATATAAGCCAGGCATAAGGAGATTTATTATCTGGGTTGGGTTTTGGCGAAGGATGGGAGAATGATTTTCGAAGGGAATTTAGAGAGATTATTTTTTTTGAAAAGAATATTTTTTGTAGGTAATAAAGAATTGATTAGACGATTTGTAATTTTGAGGGATCGTCGCTTATACGTGTATCATAGAAATTTTAATTCTATGTGTTGATATCTATTACGATATAGTCAAATTTTCTCAATCACAGAGATTATTATTATTATTATTTGCTTATCTTTCGGAATTTCTTCAAAGCGTTTTATCAATTCTGGAATTTTCGAATTCTTAGAGAAAAGCGTCGTTATATATATATATATCGATTCTTAATGGAAATTTCTTCTATGTATGTATGCAAGTTGCCGTGAACCTCGCGCAATATCGAGATATTGAACGCAATTTTGACGAA